CCCTTCCCCTTCCTCTCCTCCCCCCACCACCAAGTCTCCCTTGTCTCAAAAAAAAAAAAAAGTGCTCCTTCTTCTTTATTCTGCCCCAGTTTTTGAGGGAGGGTCTCTCTGAGGGGGGCTGTGAAGTCATGAGCCACACGCTTAAGTAGCTGGATGGTACTGGTAGTTATCGTTACCAGGTAATGGTACTAGCTGACCGGTAAGCGCCCTTCTCTCTCCTCTCTCCATCTTGTTTGAGGTGCAGACCACAAGAGAGAGAGAGAGAGAGAGAGAGAGAGAGAGAGAGACTCGAGACTGAGAAAGATGAAAAGAAGGTACACGTAAAGCCGAGTCGGGACATGAAATCCATGTGTGCTCCGAGGCTGTTTATTAATAACTTTTACCTGGTAATAAGCTATAGCACATCATCCCTACTCGTACCTGTACGAGTACACCGTGGCGGTAACCACGGCGGCCCAGACAGGAACAACAATAGATTACGCAAGCCCTTCTCTCTCTTCTCTTCTCTTCTTTCCTCTCTCTCTCTCTCTCAACTCTCTTTCATGCTGCTGTTGCTGTCTCGCATCCCCGTTTCTTGATCCTGTAACATACTCATCTCTCTCTACCTCTTCTCTCTCCCCCCTCCTGCCCCCCTATCCCTCCCTTCTCATCCCCCCCATTCTCTTCTCTCCAAATTTCACGAGCTTACCCTCCCTTTCGTCCAGCAGTGCGGAGGAGGGCTGACAAGAATAAAAGTGGCCAGGAGGATCGATCGCGCAGAAGGACGGAAAAAGCAAGTCCCACCCACCCACACCGGTGACACAACGCTACATTACGTCTTACCCGCCCTTCTTCTCGACTTTATTCTCTCCTTCATTCATCCATCTCTTCTTCTGCTATTCTCTCCCTCTCCCTCTCCCTCCCCTCCCTTTGATCTATTCTTTAAATCATCTCACAACATATCGACTTCGAAGAAAATAAACCCCGACCGATTCAAACACGGCAGGACCTGGGGTGATATAGACGGTCGCTCTTATGCAACGTCATTATCGCAAGATGTCCCAGAATCATTATATCAAGCCCCCACCGGGCAAGAAGAATGTCACGGCCAAGCTCGTCCTGTCATATGTTTTGGACTGGCTTGTCCTGGCTATAGGTGCTGTCCTGGCCGGTGCATGCTCCAAAATCGAGCCCAACAAGCGACCATTTGCTCTAAATGATCCCAACATCTCGTTGCGTCTCCCTCTCTCTCTTCCCCCCCTGCATCTATCTCTCTTTGTCATATCAATGCAATATAATGCTGACCATTGAATGACGGTTGGTTTTTTCTTCCGTCAAAAGAAAAAAACAGATTCCCAAAGACAGAAGATGAAGCAGTACCCATGTGGCTGCTAGTCGTCCTCATCCTGCTCGTGCCGGCCGGGCTGATCGCCGTGGTGACCATCGTCTTCGTGCCGGGCGCCACGGTCCCCCGAGACACCCCGGCCTCCCTGGTGTGGAGGCGCAAGCTGTGGGAGCTTCACGCCGGCTGGCTGGGGCTGGCCATGTCCCTCGTGACCGCCACCCTGCTCGTCCAGGGCCTCAAGAACATGTTTGGCAAGCCGCGCCCGGACCTGCTGGACCGGTGCAAGCCGGACCTGGACAACGCCGCGCGCTTCGTCGTCGGCGGCGTCGACGTCGGCGACGCCAGCAACCGACTCTACTCGTCCGGCGTGTGCCAGCAGACCGACTCGTCCGTCCTCGACGACGGCTTCCGGAGCTACCCCTCCGGCCACTCGGCCGGCGCCGCCTCCGGGCTCATCTACCTCGCCCTCTTCCTCGCCAGCAAGTTCTCCGTCACCCTGCCCTTTGTCGTGCCCACCGGCGCGTCGGCCGACGCCGCGGCCCACGAAGCTTTCCCCTCGCGGAGCAGCCTCCCTACCGGCGGCGCCGCCGCCGCCGGCCCGGACGCCGACTTCATCGAGGCCAGCCACAACGCCCAGCTGCGCGCCCTCCGCCGCCAGGCCGCCTCCCCGCCCCTCTACCTCTTCGCCCTGGTCTTCATCCCCATCTGCGCCTCGCTCTGGATCGCCGCCTCGCGCTGGTACGACTTCCGCCACCACGGCTTCGACATCATCTGCGGCTACCTCATCGGCCTGGTCCCCGCCTACTTCAGCTTCCGCTACTACCACCTCCCCATCCACCAGGGCGCCGGCTGGGCCTGGGGCCCCCGCAGCAGCGACAGGGCCTTCTGGGCCGGCGTCGGCCACCTGGGATACGTGGGCGAGGACGCCGACCACCCGTCCCCGTCTTCCGCCCTCGGAAATGCGCACAAGAGGCCCTTCACCGGCGATGCCGTCGAGAACGGCCCCGGCGCCGCCGCCGATCACCGTCCCGCGGCCTACGTGTCCGATCACCAGCATCAGTCGTCGATGTCGTACTCCAACGGGTATGCCGGCAGAAACGACGACTACGGGAATGAAGCTGGGGGGTTCCATGATATCGAGATGGGACGCATGAGGAACAACAGGATCTGATGATATATAAGAGGAGGTACATTTTTCTTCCTTTTTTTCTTTATCTTCATCTTCTTTCTCCCCCCTCCCCCTCTCTCTCCCTTTTCAGACTTTTTTTTTCTGCTCTCTTTGCATTTCCTTTTCCCTTCTGATGTCACCACGTCCTTTTCTTCTTCTTCTAATACTATTTCTCGACGTGTTCTGCATTTCTTTTTTATTTATTTCTCCCTCATCTTTTTCCACTCATCACTGGATGTACAATATCGTTCTGTACAATACCATAAACCGGGATACGCAGCGAGTAAGAGGGGAGGGGAAGGCTTGGGAATTCATACACATAGCGCATTGTTTTGATTTGATTCTGTAACGCAAACTACTATCTATACTCGCCATGAACGACCATTCTTTACTTACCTCTCTCTCCTCTCTCGACTTGTCATTGAAGTGAAAAAAAAAATGAACTAGAAGAATAGATCAGCACGACCGGAGATGTAATCAACGAGTTATAAAGAGAAGGGAAAAAACGGCTGTACTGAAACTATATTGAAAAACAAAACAAGAAAAGACATACACAACCAAAACATGTTAAGGAAAAATTCCTCTCTAATGCCCGTAAATCGCCCGAGTCGTATAAATTCAGAAACCCGCATGAATAGATAAATAGAAGACACGAAAAAAAGAAAAAAAAACTCCCGTCATTGTTTCCCTCCATGTCTGATTCTTCTTGTCTTCTTGTCTTCCCAGTATTCTTTGAGGGTATCTTGTCTCTCAATCACCTTTTTTATTCTCTTCTTTTGTTTGATTGGATGGAAAATGCGCCGTCTTACTCGGCAGCCCGTCCGTGCAAGAGTCTGCTATCAATGGGCTGAAAGTCTGCAGCATCCTGGTCGGCAACGATGGCGACAGCATCACTCGGGATATTAGCATCCTGACTGGCGATAGCGGTAGCAGCAGCAGTGACGCCGGTCGCCTCGTCATCTTCGTCGTCGTCGTCCAAGTCCTCCTCTTCCTCGGGATGGTCGCGAAATCCCGTCTCGATCTCGAGACGCCTGAGACGGCGACGCATGCTCTCCCGCTTGGATCCCTGCCAGCGGACCAGCGAGGCCGCCGCGTGCACCTTGAAGCCGTAGACCCGGGGGACGTAGCGCTCGGCGGAGCGGGCGGGCATCAGGGTGGGGTAGACCTGGAAGAGGATGTTGTGGAACGAGGTGCCAAAGTAGGCGCCGTCGATGGCGGCGTGGCGCGACGATTTCGGGTTGTAAATGTCCTCGCAGCGCGCGCAGTACAGCTTGACGGGTTTGATGTTGGGGATGTCGGAGAGGCCCATGGGGAGCAGCGGGTGGGAGTGGCACATGACGCGTGGGCACTTGCCAAAGTCGGCCTTTTTGTACTTGTCGAGCTGTTTTCCATCCTTCGTCAGCTTCTTTCTTTCTTGCCCTGGCACCTTTCTCTCCTTCTCCTTCCTCTTCGTCCTGTCCTGCAACGACTGCAAGACGAGAGACGGGTAGAGAGATCGGGGGAGCGTGCGAGGCCCAGGGAAGAAAAAAAACATACCATCTTGGCCAGGCCTCGTGTCGTGACAATGTACCGAGCATGAACAAGCCCATACAAGTGACGGGCAGACTTCTCAATCGTCTCGCGCATGTCGTCATCACAGTCGAGGTCGAACACGTCCGTCACTAGATCGAGCGCATACTGGTAGTATTGAACCTCGGTGTTGAGCCCCGTCAGGTTGAACCTGTCCGTCAGGTAATCCTCGTCAATCTCGCAGTAGTATTCGTTTCCACGAGACGAGATGAACTAGACAGTTTCATCACAATGTCAGCGTCCTCATCCATTCCCCTTCCTTTCCTTCCCATCCCAGACCAGATAGAAGAAACTCACCCAGTCTCGCCAATAGCTGGTGTAGTCGCTATCGGAATCGCTAACATAGTCCTCCATGTTGGTCAAGTCAACCGTGCTACTCTCTTCTCCTCTTTCTTTCCCTTTTTTTTCCCTCCCTTTTTTTCTTCTTCCTTGTCTCTCTGACTAACTGTCCAGTAACCAGTCGTTGATAGTTGTCAGGAGGAGCGTGCTCTTTTTTCTTAATAAAAAGAAAGGAGAAGAGCCCTTTTTCCTGTTCACCCCTTCTTCTTCCGAAGCAGAGGTTGTGTGTGTCCAGAGGGCGAAGGAAGAAAATGAGAGGCTGGAGTCTAGCCACGCGTCGTCGTCGTCGTCGTCGTCGTTGTCGTCGTTATTCGAAATAGAAATTTTGTGCTTTTCCGGAAGGGTTTTCGCAAATCAACTTGACGAAGATGGAACCTGCCTGGCTAGCCCGGGTGTATTGCAGAGGATAATATGGGGGGATGCAGCAACGTCGTCAAAGTTGGTGGGGGAGGTTTCCCTTGGTTCCCCTCCCTCAGCTCAAAGCGTTCCCCACTGCCTGTCTGCGGCGTAGCGCGCTATCTGAGATAGACCCTGAGTCAGCATTTTTTTTGTTTTATTTTATTTACCTTGCTCTCATTCCTTCCCTCTCGCCTAACGTCAATCACCTCTCTGTCCCGTCTCGACCGACGCATACGCAAGTGCTGTACTTCTTCTTAAGAGTATACATAAATACAGTATTCTTTCTGAGGAACCTTGAAGCTTTTGGGGGGGAATAGTTATTCTTGATAAGTCTGCTCCGAGAGCAGTGTTGATGCTGCGCATCGACATGTATTATATATATCCTCTGCCTCCGCCTCTGTCGCCGACATCCCAATCCTCACCCCAGCGTGTTAGTCGACGAGCTCAGACTGACGCCGTCACTGGCAGACCGTCTATCCGTCTCCTCATCGCTCGTTCCCGTGGTACTACCGGCGCCGCTGCCTCCACCACCGTTGTGCCTGGTCCAGCGCGCCATCCTAGCCGACGGAATCTCCAGCCTGCTGATCGTACTGTCGTGATCCAGCCGCCCATCCTTGTTGGCTGCCTTGAAGGACGCGTTAGCCATGTCCATGACCTCGCGGAGAACCTCTCCCGTGTTGTCCATAGCGACCAGGAACCGTGCCAGCTCCTTGCACAGATCCCAGTCTCCTTCGTTCATGGCCCGGGTCAAGAGGCGCACCGGCTGCTCGGCCGTGGCGTCCAGCTCGTCCAGCGTTTGCAGCACGATGAGGTACCCGCCCGCCGTCTTGAGGGACCCCCGCTGCAGGGACTCTTCGAACAGCTCCTGCGCTGGGGGCAGATACGCGAACAGTGTCTTCCACTGCCGGGCCTCCGTCTTGCGCGTGCACTGGAGCACCACGTCCAGATACTCCTTGAAGGTCGACAGGAGAGATAGTACCCTGGGCAGGACGGCTTCTTCTGGCGGTGGGGACGTATCGGCCTCCTCGTCCAGGACCGTGTGCAGGAGCATCTCCAGCGCGTGGGGCAGGTACTCGAGGTCTTTGTACTCCTGCGACAGCTTGGTTGCCTCCTCGATTCGCTTTTGTTGCAGGTAGAATCGCAGTATGTCGGGCAGTACGAGATGAGTCTAGGATTATTGTTAGTCTCGAAATTCTTCTCCCCCCCTCTTTTTTTTTTTTGGGTTTGGTTTTGTTTGTATTCCATCTTTTGTTTTATTCGGTCTGATTTGGTTGTGGACGGATGAAGAGGAGAGAATACTGCTCACCCTGATAGCGAAGTGGAAGAAGGAAAACGTCACATCCCGCCGCTGCACAAGATCCGACTCAACACCCAGCACAACCCCCTTTGTCAGCAGGATGGACAGCGGGTAGAAGTCGACGGGCACCGACACGGCAGGTGGCAATTCTTTGGCCTGCTGCTCCCCGGACACGGCGTCGAGCACATCGTCGAGGCGGGTCCAAGCCTTGAGCTCCATGCCGTCGAAGACCCACAGCGATTCCCGCAGAGCTCCCGCGCGCGAGGGGAGGGACGAGGAAGATGAGCCGCTCTTCCTGTCCACCACGCCACCCTGCTGGCCGATGTTGAGGAGGGGCTGGTCCCGCATGCTGGCGTAGTACTCGACGTTCTGCGCGATGACGCGCATGTCATACTTCAGCTGGCCCTGCTCGTTGAGCGAGGGCCGCAGGAGTACGAGCTTCCCGTCGACAAGGAAGATGACCGACGCGACGGCCACGTCCTGCGACGGGTCGCCGTCGACGAGCTGACTCTCGGGGAGGACCCAGCTGAGGGCGCGCACGCGCGCGGGGGATCGGACGATGCCGTGGAAGGCAATCTGGCCCACCTGGACTAGGCGCATCGTCCCGTGGTAGGGTGTGAAGATGTAGTGGTACAGCAGGTTCTCGTAGGTGTAGACCAGGAGGGAGTCCTCGCCCGAGATGGTGATGAGAACCACGGGGGCAGAGATGCGTTCCCGGTGGAGTACCTGGGAGGCGTCTAGGGCCGACTCGCGTGAGAAGAGGCGCACCTCGTAGGTCCGATTGCTCTCCACGGCCGCCACGAGGATGTGCTGGTACCAGCACATGCCGCCCCGGACCTGGAACTCGTCCTCCATGCCGTCGTTGGCAAATGTCTTCCAACGCCCGCTGTTGACGCTGTAGTGTGCTAGCCCGCGGCGTCCTGCGACGGCGACGTACCGTCCGTCGGGGGATATGACCGTCTGCTTGATAGGCCACTGCCGCAGGAGGTATGTGGCGGGGATCTTGGTCGTATGCCACAGGAAGGGCTCGGCCGAGATGCTGGTCAGGTCGGGCAGGTCGTAGCCCCGGTAGACCATGACACTCGTAGGGGTCTGGAGGACGGTGCGCAGCACGTTGGCCTCATTGTAGCACCCCGCCACGGCGCTCTTGGCCATCTCGAGAGACCAGATGGCCTCGTGCTTCGGGCCAATCATGAGAATCTCGGAGCCGCTCCCTATCCATGACGCGCCCCGGATGCCGCGTAGCCACTCCTCGCCGTTGTTGGTCGACAGCCTCTCCTCCGCCGAGAAGCTGTTAGTGCCGAGCTTCCCAAACATGGACCACGTGGACCAGCCCTTTTCGAATCCGGCGAATAGGCTATATCCGTCAGGGGAGTAGCTCAGCGTCGTGAATGAGCCCGAGGAAGAGGCCGACGTGGGGATGTGGTGCGTGTGGGAAAACGGGACGTGGCCCTCGTAGTCCCTGACCGTGTAGACCTGGACGCTGCCGTCGCAGCAGCCGACGGCGATGAGGGAGAATCTCGCATTGATGATGGCTCGAGAGGCATTTGACGAGGCATCCTTGGGCACGTGGAAGCAGTGACCCTTGAAGAGCCGCTTGGCGTCGGCCTCGGTGACCTTGTCCGGGTCCTGCGGGGGGCGGCACCTCTGGACGGCGTATGCGCGTCCGTCGCTGGTGATCCAGGTGTGCAGGTTCATGGGGCGGTCATGGGTCATCTCGAGAATGGTTGCCTTCTTCTCGACCCAGCCCGTGCGGCTGATGATCTCGGTCCTGGTCTGGCTCCCGCTGCTGTCGGGGCTCCAGCGGATGCACTGGACGGCGGCGGGCTTCGTCGTGGCGACAATCAGCTCGTCGTCGAGGGCGAGGGCACACTCAATACCGGCGTCGACCTTGATGACCATGCGGAAGCGTACGCTGATGTCCCGGATGCCCGAACCTTCCCCCGGGCCCCAGAGGAAATCGTCGGGCGCCAGGCCCTGCTGGCCGGGCACGAGGCACTGTCTCCGGCGCTGGACGTTGTGGTAGTTTGTGAAGTTGGGCCTGTAGACGCGGGACTCGCCGTCTGTGGCTATCGAGTAGGTGATGAGGAAGCCGTGGCTCGTGTGGACGACGAGGATGGCCGAGTCCGGGCGGAGGAAGAGGTCGACATTTTCGCCGTACAGGTGGAGGGAGGATTGGGAACGTACGACGACGGCGAGGACTACGGTCGGCTGCGGCGCACTCGTCAGTCAGATGCCATCCCTCTCTGAGCCGCACTGTGATGTGAGGGGGTCTTACCTTTGTCTGCCAGACGGTAATGGATGTGGTGGTGATGACGGCAAAGATGTGGCCAGACCTGGACACACGGAGGGCCAAGACGGGATCCTTGACGGGGACCCTGCTGGTGACGACCCTGGAAGTCTGGGAGGGGAATCGGCCGGCCTCTTCACCGTCATCGACGGATTGGAGAGCAGGTGTAAGGGGCGTTACGGGAGTCGTAGGGACCTGAGGGGGGTTGAGCCGATCATCGTCGCCAACGCCAGGGCCACCGGCAACGGCTACGCGGGGATGGAGAGCTCCCTTGGGAGGGGACGTGGCGACTTCGGGACCGAGTCCAAGGCCGATGCAGGGCCCTGTGGGATCCGGAGGCTGAGGCTGGTGCTGAGGTTGAGGCTGATGCTGGATGCCATCGTCGGACTCGGTAAGCCTGATGCTGGGGCTCTGGCTGCTGCTCGTAGCATAGATGCGCGGAGTTGCTATCGGCCAGTACATTACGCGAACGGGGTGGCTCTCGGCGCTTCAAGGATCGTGGTCAGGTAGGCGCTGGCTCTGTCATTTCTTATGCAGGGCCTGTTGTCGTCACCTGGTCGAGTGCCATGAGGATGTTGGGATGCTTGAAGGGAGAGGGACTGGCGGGGGGGGGGGGGGGGGTTCTAGTGGTTTGTGGTGATTGTACAGATTACAGGCGAGTGAGTGTTATTACATGTATGTATCAATACTTCAAGTATTAATATTACGAGGTGACGACTATATGTGCATATGGATGGACAACCCGGTGCATAAATCATAAATAGACATACTTCGGGCGTCTGCCTCATAGGCGCACCCTGTTTTCCCTTCACACTGCCCAATGGGGTGTGCAAATTACATAAGTCTCGAGGTAGCAGCAGTTCGAGCAAGGCCAGTAATCAGTATCTAACGCTCTTCTTTTTCGTCACATCAACAACAATCAGGTGATCCAATTGAGGGAGAGAGATACACACAAGTAAAACGCATCTCTTCTACGATTTTTTCGACATTAGACCGCGTCGAAACAACTCCCTCTATAAGAAAAGGTAGAAATCAGCCACTAATAAGACCGCTAGATTCCACACACCAAGACCACTAGAAATCAACCACCAAAAGACCGCTGAAGATTCGCACACAGGGCCACAACAGTGCTGGGACGCTAAAGGCTTACGTAATCCATAGCGACGGGACCTCCGTTGTGGTGACGTCCTCATTCAGCAGATTGAATCTCCAGCACCAGCATCAGACTCGGCATTGACAATCAGAATCAGCATTTGAGCCCTGACGGCTCTCAGATGTATCTCCCCGCGAGACTGACCTATAATTGGGCACAGAGATACGGCAACTACGAGAAATGTCAGAGTATAGCCAAGCTCTGCTGTAGCTCCGTTACTGGCACGCAGACGCCGAGTTGTGGCGCTTGGCAGACGAGGCAGATTACGTAGCGGGAAGGCATTGACTGGATAGGCAATCCATTCGATTTACCTGCGGAACGCCTGACAAGTTCCCATGAAAGTCCCTCTGCTGACTCTCCAACTCTTCGCATGTCCACCAACTGGCAAACACATTGCCAATCAATTCCCTCCAAGGTTCTCACGTTGTTGTCCACTGCGCTCCTAGCGCTTTGCTCTGTTCACTCTTCCATCGACTTTGCCGGTCCGCACACACACACACACAAACACACACACACACATACCATATACACACATATACAAGACATGGGCACGATGCTCCTCCGATATATAAAAGGGCATAGTTCCCCCGAGAGGAGAATCGTCTATCTCGACGAGCCATAGCAATAACCAAGCCAAACTGATATTTCACGTCATCTTCTTCAATCATCTCACAGTCTACTACCATCAACCTTGTGACGTCGTCATCTTGACTTCTCTCCATCTATCCCAATGGCTGACTACGACGATACATCGCCTATGATGGCATGGCCAAGGCCCAGGAGGCCACCCAGGGTGCCGCCGATCCGTCGTCGGCCGCCCAGCACGGCGACTCAGCTCCGACGTACGACGCTGCGGACCGCGGCGGAGCCGCTCCCAGCGTGTCCTCGCCCTTCAACTTCCCCTCGGAATCAGACCTGCCATCTTACACGGCCACCTCCCCGGGTGGCGGTGTATCCAGCCAGCGGCCCGTGGCCATCCCGCAGGTCAGGCCGGCCCCCGACTCACCCTCTGTCCCTGCCTTTCCCCCGTCTATCCTGGGCCACGGGATCCCAGAGGGCACGTTGCTCTCCTTCCTGGAGACGGTGTCGGCCTTCCTCGCGGCCAAGGTGGGAGACCGCGCCATCAGTCACGCCGGCGATATGGCCCGTCGGTTCATCGAGCACCCCAAGAACGTCGGCAAGCATGTCGTCTCCCACGCCAAGAACTGGGGCAAGAACATCGGCCCCGACGCCAAGAAGGGCAACGTCGTGGGCATCATTGGCGGCGTCGTCAGCATCCCTATCGTGTCGGTCCCAGGCGTCGTCCGCGCCGTCGTCGGTCTGCCCGGCTCCGCCGTGAATGCTATTGTCGAGAAGCCCCAGACACCGGCCCAGAGGGCCGCCGCTTACGCCGCCGTCGCCAACAGGGAGTGGCTGCATTCTCGCGGTCTGCGCGCCCAGCTGTTCGACTCGAATGAGCTGGCACAGTGGCTGGACATCACGGTGTCGGACCTGATGAGTTCGGCGCGCGCATACGGGGACCGCTCATCTGCTGCGAGGCAACTGACAGGTCTTGCGGAGCGCATTGCGCCCTTGGAGGTCCAGTCTGGGGATGCTACTCTTGAGCTGGCGTCGGAGGCTATATGGCTGGTCCTTTTGCCGTTCGCCGGTGAAGGCGAGGAATGAGTGATAGCACATGTGTGTGTTTTGGCTTTTCTTGGATGAAGTGACCTTGGTACTATGAGTTCATTTGTGTATGTATATGTAACAGGATCTATCAGAAATGCACTTGCCCAGCCATGACATTCAACGTATATTTCATTGAGCAGAGTTCCCATTGCACGTGCAGATGTCGATGCTTGTACGCGATATTACGACGAGATGACTGCAGCAAACAGAGAGCTCGACAATGTTCTACATTATCAGCATTGAATGCTATCAGTATAGCATTTACTACTGCTCACCAGGCTACTAGATACTGAAAAGATAAGATGTCCAAGCGTGGACGGCCTTGTATGACTTGTCTTTTGTCGCCTTACATATACTCGTACACAATCTGTCACGACGTGGATGCAGTAGTCGGCTAGACGCGGCCAATGCCCCGATAACGGCCGGGCACTCAAGCAATCCCCCGCAATTCATGCCTCGTCGCCTGCCATTGTCACTGCTGGGGGTCCTCCAACTTACTCGTATACTCCTCCATACCCATACACGTACCTTCCATTCAATCCATCCACCATCTTCCTCTTCTCGTTCCCAAATACTCGTAGCATTTTCACTTCTATTGATACTGTTCTCCGATCCGTCCCTCCATCGATCATCTTCATCCGTCCCAGCGGATCCCCAGGGCTGCTGCGTGCTCACATCTCCACATAAGTGGCAGCGTACCTGACCACGAAACACAGCTCACCATGTTCTCCGTCGCAGGCCGGACGCCTCGTCTCCTGCACATAGCTACGAGCCGTCGAGCATGTCTGCATACCAAACCGCCTAGTCTCTCCGGCGCAGAGGCAGCCGCCGTCGCCCAGCCCGCTCACCATCATGGTCATGAGAGGTCGAACGCCATCGACGAGATCATGGCTAGGCGCGCCAAAGCAGGCAGACTGGAGGCTGGGGTGGCAGCTCCATCTCACAGTAACATGTTCAAGGGCTCCGTAGGTCCTCCGCCGCAGCGCTAGTCTGCTTCCATCGGTAGCTGATAAGCCTTTCCTACAGACAGAGGGTATGCCCAAGGCAAAGCGATGGACAGGTGGGATCCCCCCTCGCCCAGTCTCACACCGCAGCTGGACTTACTCATGGCCCCTTCCCTCTAGACCACCTCAGTAGAGAGAGCAGGTCGCGCAAGCCATGCACCTTGAAACAAGCAGCCAAACACTTGAAGAAACCCGGCCTCATCTCCCTCGGCGGCGGTCTCCCCTCGGGCAGAGTGTTCCCCTTTGCCGAGATTAGCATGAAGGTTCCGGTCGTCCCCAACTTCAGCGAGACCGACACGCTCGAGTCCGGCCAGACGGTCACGATTGGCAAGTACGACGTGCGCGACACCGACGACGCCGTCTATGACCTGTCCATCGCCCTCAACTATGGACAGGCAACAGGTTCCGCGCAGATGATGCGCTTCCTGACGGAGCATACAGAGCTGGTGTGCCGTCCGCCCTATGCGGACTGGGGCGTGTGCCAGACAGTCAGCAGCACGTCGGCACTAGAGCAAGCGCTGCGTATGTTCTGCGACAAGGACAGGGGTGACTCGGTCCTCACGGAGGAATTCAGTTTCTCCACGGCCCTCGAGACCATCTTTCCCCTCGGCGTGAAACCCGTCGGTGCCCCCGTGGACGAGCAAGGCCTGATACCCGAGGCCATGGACAAGCTGCTGACCGAGTGGGACCCCGACGCCCGCGGCGGCGCACGCAAGCCTCACCTCCTATACACGGTGCCATCGGGGCAGAACCCCACAGGGACCACGCAGGGTTCAGAGCGCAGAGAGGCTCTCTACAAGGTCGCCCAGAAGCACGATATGTACATCATCGAAGACGAGCCCTACTACTTTCTGCAGATGCAGCCCTACAGAGAAGGCGAGGAGGCAGAACCCGTCCCGCCGCCGGCCACGGTCGACGAGTTTCTAGACTCGCTCATCCCCTCCTTCGTGAGCATAGACGTCGACGGCCGCGTCATGCGCATGGACTCGCTCTCCAAGGTCCTCGTCCCCGGATCCCGACTAGGGTGGATAACGGCCTCGGACGAGATCCTCGAGAGGTACCAGCGCCATGCAGAGGTCGCCAGCCAAGGTCCCAGCGGCTTCTCGCAGGTCATACTGCATAAGCTCCTGGATGAGACGTGGGGTCACGAGGGGTACCTCCGGTGGCTCATGAATCTGAGACTCGAGTATACGGGTAAGAGGGACATGCTGCTGGCGGCGTGCGAGGAGCATCTCCCGCGTGATCTTGTGAGCTGGGTGCCTCCGGTGGCTGGCATGTTTGTATGCTCTCCCCTTTCTCTCTCCCCTTCTCTCCTCGTGCCGATTTCTCCAAGCACATGGATGATTTATTGCACGGACTGACAGTCAACGACGGCAGATGTGGCTCAAGGTGGACCACACTCAGCACCCCGAGGTCAACAGCCGCAAACTCGAGGACATTGAAGAGGAGATTTTCGATTCGTGCGTCAACAACGGCGTCCTGGTGGCGCGGGGCTCCTGGTTCCAAACGGAGCGTGATAAGCCCCTATCCGGACTGTATTTCCGGGCCACGTTTGCATCGGCCACCGGCGAGAACATGAGCGAAGCGATCAGCAGGTTTGGGAAGGCCGTCAAGGATAGCTTTGATCGGTGACGGTATTCGGCAGTCCCATCTCTGTTACTTGACAGAGCTGGCTAGCATATAACGGACTATCTGCATGATGGCGATGAATAATGTACAGGATCATGAGGGAATTGTCCAACCTGTCCTAGACAGCATACGCGAGGAGGATAATTATAAATAGATGAGAAGAAGATATACGTAAAGAGGGCATATATAAGCATGAATCATTAAAGTAGTAAGAGAGCAGATCAAAGAGGGGCAACGCAAACTGAGGGGAGGGACAAGAATGGCTAGAGTCGTGTGGAGGTTCGTCGCAAAGAGAATACGATTCAACCCTTTGCATCCCAAAAGGCAACCCTGACGCCGTCACCAGGCGACAAGATGACGTCCGCCTTGAGAAAGGGGACCCCTCCATCGATATCGTGCATATGGCTAGTAATACGATCAAAGCGCTGCAGCAGGCGACACAGCACGTAGCTCATCTCCGTGAGGGCGAACTGCTGGCCGACGCAGATGCGCGGGCCGGCATTGAAGGGGATGTAGTCGTGGGGCCTGGGGTGCCAGTGCAGCCAGCGGTCCGGGCTGAAGACGTCCGGGTGGGCGAAGGTGCCGGAGACGGGGGGGTACAGGTCCGGACGGCGCTGCATGAGCAGCGGAGAGTAGGCGACGGGTGTGCCCCTGAGGACGGTGAGCGGCTCCGAGCCGTCGGGCCCGCCGCCCCTGGGCAGGGTGGTGTCGCGCATGGAGAGGCGGACGTTGAAGGGCACGCTCGGGTACAGCCTCAGGGTCTCGTTGAGGACGGCCTTGAGGTAGGGCATATTCTTGAGGTGGGCGTAGGTCGGGGTGTCGTGGGCGCCCACGGTGTCGAGGACCTCACGCCGCAGCCTGGCCACAGCGGCCGGGTGGCGGGCGAGCTCGTAGACGGCCCAGGAAAGCGTCGAGGCCGTCGTGTCCCGGCCGGCCAGGAGGACGGACACGATCTGGTCGCGGAGCACCTTGGGGTCGCGCGTGAAACCGGCCAGCACGTGAAGGAAGCTGCTGCCCTTCTTGTCGCCCTCGGTGCGGGCCGCCAGCTCGTCCGGGCTGAGGCGCAGGGCACGCTGGATGAAGGAGTTGACGAAGCGGTTCATGACGTCCAGGCCGCGCTTGAAGGCCGCCTTGGGCAGCAAGGGCCGCAGCTGGCCCGCGCGGGACTGGTAGTTCTGGATGCGCTGGACTTCGTTAAAGGCGTCGGCGAATTCGTTGCGGGGGGAGCTAGCACATGCATACGCTGGGTTAGTCATTAAAAGGAAGAAGAAGTACTGTTGGGAGATTCAAGAATACGATGGCAGAGTGATTGACCGCTGGTAGGGAGCCGAATGGCAAAGAAGAGAGAGGAGAGAGCAGAGAGGATACGGTTCACGTACGAGAGAGATCCGGTGTCGCCGCCGAGGAGAAATTCGGTGATGACGTCGAGGGTATAGCGGAAGAACAGGTCGCTTATGTCGAGGGGTCTACCGCTGCCGGCGCCTCGACGGACGGGATGATCATGTCCGTCCAGGGGCCCCCCGTTGTCGATGGCGCGGAACAGCGTCTCGACGTGGGACTCGAAGCACTCGAGGTCGCTGACGCGGTCCCTCGTGAACTGGGGCCGGATGAGCTGGCGGGAGGTGTACCACTGGGTTCCGTCGGTGGTGAAGATGCTGTCGCCCAGGAAGTCCTTCCACGAGTCGTGGAAGATGTGGCCCTTTCCGAAATCGGAGAACTGCAGGGCCAGCACCGCCTTGATATTGTCCGGGTCCGCGGTGAAGATGAGGCGGCGGCCCATCGTGCGAGCTTCGCACGTGTAGCTTGGCGAGGCGACTAGGTGGTCACGCCAATATTCGGGGAGGGTGTACCGCCGCGAGGCCATGACGATTCCGTAGGTGAAGTCGAGGCCTATGAGTGTGTGAACCGGTCAGATCATGGGGTTTTTTTATTGGGGGTTTTTTATATATATAAAAAATCCTTCTCGTCTTTCCGTCTGATCTTCAGTCTTTGTGGGTGAGTATGCGAGTGAAGGGGAGGAGGGGTATCATCATTACCAAAGGGAGCCCATGACGAGACTTTGGTGGCATAGTTGCCCAGGCGCTTGATGTGTATGTGCTCGTCGATGCGGAAGACAATGTACCGAAGAGTGAGGGCACCAAGGACGACTAGGGTGACGGAGGAAAAGGAGATGTGAGGGGTAACAGCCTCGATGAGACCCATGGCGATGTTTTTTTCCCCTGTCTTTCCTTTTTTCCCCCTCTCTTTCCGCCTGATCGGGAAGAAGGTTCAGATGTTCTCTCCCAACTGTTCATACACACACATTCAATAGAAAAAAAAGGTCTTTATTGTTACATGTTCGCACACATATACACACATCTCCCCAAGAATAAGGAGAGAGAGAGAGAGACAAGAGAGGGGAGGGGGACGGAGGGAATGGGACTATATTTGTATACGGAAGAAAGAGAAACAAAGAGGAAAGCTTGATACAAACAAAGAAGGAGAAGTCACCAAGTCACTTGCATGTCGAACCCGCACCCGGGAATTTGCTCGATATCGGCCGATGGATGGTCGCGCCCGATGGATTTGGGGGGAGGGGGGGGGGAGAGGGGAGGAAAGGTGGATGGACGGCAGGAGCGGGAGGTGGAGCTTGCAAGGGTCAAGGATTGTGTGGCATCGTGGACAAGGAGCGGGTAACGAAAGGGACTGCCGCACCTTGTTCCACGTTGTCAGTTTTAGGTCTACAAAATAACACATACCCATATATATATGCCCATATATATGCCCATATATATATGCCCGTACTATTCTCTAGATGTTATGGATATTACATGTATACAATTCATTGAATCATTACATGACCCCCTCCCCTCCCCCTCGAGTAGGAATAAAGATTCATACACCCATTTTTTTTTCTTTTTCTTCGTCTCATGCAACATGAATGGATGCATGTTGGTTCCGATCAATCCTCACGCACATATGCAGCAGAGCACATGGTGTAATAGCTTACTCGCCGTTCTTCTCTTCCGTTCCCCTCTCCTCCCTCTCTTTTCTTCGTCACCTGCCTTATAGGGTGAATAGAGTTCTCTGATACGTGTATGTACGAGCGAGTATATTGAGGGGAACGAGAAAGTGAGGCTAAGAGTCCACTTCGATCACATTGTCCTTCTCTATCTCTATTATCTCTTTCTATAACTGGTGTTATTGATGTTGCGCGTGCTCTGTCCAATGTGAGTCTTCGTGTGTTTGCGACCGCCCCGACCCCCACCCTCCCATTCACAACCGTTCAGACTGCCTCATAAGATTGAGTTGCTGATACGATGCAACATGTACGGAGTAGTATCATGTATGTAGTAATAGTCTGTACGGAGGAGGGTTGGAGTGCTCATCCTCTCCTGAGTTGAAAGGCCAAACCAAACACACTAATAGACTAATAGTATGATAGGTATAATAGTATGTAGGTTTTTGGTTGCACCAAGAACGAGTCTAGGCAAGAAGACCCTTGGAACAGTCTTGTCTCCTTCTAAACCCACCCATCTCTTTGTCACTCTGACTCACATGCCCTCCTCCATTCACGTCACTGGCTTTCTCTAAGATGAGAGAAATACACTTTCTCTCGAAAACTCTGTTTTGATGTCAATTCCTCTGTACACGAACCACATTCAACGGACGGCACGGGGCACACATGGCCTTCATCTTGACGTCCCGCGTAGTTGTAGGGTGAAAAGTGATTTTGGTGGTTTCGAAACAACGACTACGAGCATGACTAATCCTCGCACGCCATTTGCCACATGAAACGCTATCGGATGAAACGGCTGATTAATTCACCGGAAGATGTTAATCCGGCCCGATCGGATCTTTTTTCTCTGATAAAATGGAACACCCGTACAGTCACCAATTCCCTCATATATATATATATATATATATATATATATAACAATACACATCAAGAAGGTCAGAAAAGGGCCTAGTTTCCATTGCATCAGTGGATAATTATCCGGACAAAATCTCCTTCCGATCCGGAACCTCAGATGGACGTTTTACCGACATTACTCCGCCGATAAAATCTGACAAACGCTAAGATCACGTGATTATTCTGATGTAATTACGCGCGACGCCACCCAATCAAGGTACAGCAGAGTGCATATTACATGTACGAGTAGTAGTAGTACGGATACATGCAGCTTCATTCGGAGGCCTTTGTTGCAATGTCCGACAATGTCGCAACTGAGCCACTGTAGACATTGTAGTGAGTCTGGAGGCTTGGGATGAGGGAACTTATGGATAGCTAGCTATAGGCCTTTTCAGTCTTTTGGCCAGGTATTAGACTCGAAGCCTCATCTGTGGAAACAGAGCAGGCAGTTGACATTCCCATCGCGGTCGTTTACATCACGTGACTCAAAGAGTGACCCATCTTTCCGAGCCTTCTCTCTCTGTTTGTTCGCTCTGTCAGCAAGAGGCAAAGCTTTCCCCATACCAAAGCCGCGACAAGAATCGCTTTTTTTGCCTACCGGTTGATTGATTTCCTACAAGATACCCCCATCAACTGCGAGCAGCGTACGATCCGACAAGAATCTCTTCTCTTGTTCACCGTCCGAGACCAGCCCGACGCGATCGATAAATCATTTTCCCCCCTCTCTCTCTTGAGCGGAGAACCCCCACGAGTGACCCTCTCAACGCGTCAAGGGGGCGACAACTCTACTCCCCTGCTTTGCGTCAACCGAACGCCTCCTCCCCAACCCTCTTCTCGCTTCCCCCCCTCCCCCTTCCAATAGCTGCGACCGCAAAGTAGCAGCAACACAGACCGCCCAACCATGTCTGTCGAGGTCAGCCTCAATACGCCGCTGGCGGACGCGCTCAACACCGCCATCCAACGCAAGCTTATCGAGGCTGGATGGGTTGGCGACGTGAATGACTCGGCCCTCGCCGAGTACATCATCCTCATGCTGGTCAACGGAAAGACGCAGGATCAGATCGCCCACGAGCTGGCCACCGAGCTGCTCAACCTCTCTCCCGAAGACCCCTCGTCCGGGCAATTTGCGCAGTGGCTGTTTGAGCAGATCCACGTCCTCAACGCCCAACTCAACGGCGGTCCCCGGTCTGCCGTCGCGGATGCCGCCGCTCCCCAGAACGAAATAGACACGGACATGTCGGCAACAACTGAGACTCCTGAAATCAATGCGTATGTATCTCGCCACATCTGATGATCTCCAGAAAGAAGAAGAAAAAAAAACATGAATGCTGACTCTGGTCTCACAGCCCGACCGGTCCTCGATCAATGCGGAACGGTAACAACAACATGCGAGGCCGAGATAAGCGCATGATGGGTCAGATGTCCAAGGCCATGGACCGCACAGGTGACAGCGCCCTGCACCGCGTGGGTCGCTCACGAATCGACTCGCACAACCGCGGCCTCCCGACCGGACCGCGGGGCGCCATGCGCGGCGGCCGCGGCGGCATGAACAACCGCAACGCCGCCAGCATCCAGCACGGCCTGGCCAACATGGGAGGTCCCGGCGGCCCCGGCCCCATGATGATGGGCGTCCCCGGCCCCATGGGCGGCCCCCCCGGAGGTGGCATGGATGTCTATGCCATCCTGGAGCAACAGAACCAGATGATGATGCAGCTGTCACAACAACTCATGAACAGCAACGGAAACGGCAACGGTCACGGCGGCTACGGACAGCATCAGAACCGACGCGGAGGAAAGTCGCTATTCGACCGGGTGCAGAACCCTCACCACAGACACAACAACCACGGTCGCCAGAACAACGGGCAGAACGACGAGGGTGGCGCGGCCGGCGCCAACGGCGAGGGTGAGGGCGATGACGTCGACATGTCCGGTGGCAAGCGCGAGGCGCCGAACCCCGACGAGACGGTGTGCAAGTACAACCTGCACTGCACGAACCGCGAATGCAAGTTTGCGCACCAGTCGCCGGCGGCGCCGCCGGGAACGCACGTCGACATCACCGACGTGTGCAGCTTCGGGGCGGCCTGCAAGAACCGCAAGTGCGTAGGCCGCCACCCTTCGCCGGCGGCTAAGCTGGCCCACCAGGGCGAGCAGGACTGCAAGTTCTTCCCCAACTGTCAGAACCCGCGCTGCCCCTTCCGGCACCCAAGCATGCCCTTGTGCCGCAACGGGCCCGACTGCACGACCGAGGGCTGCAAGTTCACGCACGTCAAGACGAAGTGCAGGTTCAACCCGTGCCTCAACCCAGCATGCGCCTTCGTGCACGACGAGGGTCAGCAGGGCGGCTTCAAGGATAAGGTCTGGACTGCCGAAGGGCCGTCGTCAAAGGAGCATGTCAGCGATAGGAGGTTCGTCGGGGAGGGGGCAGGCGAGGAGCTGGTCCTCCCCGGTGACGGACAGGACGATGATCTTGGCGCTGCTGTCAAGCCCGAGGACGAGGCCCATGACCAGTCGGTGCAGGATGCCGAGGTCATCGGCTGAGGGGGACGGGGGATGGAAAGGCCGTACGGTGGAATGAAATATAGGGGGATAAACAGACGGGGTATATCAAATGGGAGGATATAGAAAGAAGCAAAGCGAAACAAAACAAAGCAAAACAAAAGCAAAAGAAGACGAAAAAAAAAAAAGAGCAGTGGTCCACGAAGACCCATGTGTATGAGGTTCATGTATAAATATATCTTCTTGGGGTCAGAAAAGGAGGGAGTTTTTTTTTTCGAGTCTGGGGAAGAAAGCGGCGTTGGTGTGTGCGATTTTTTTTTTTTGGCTCCTCGAGAGTAACATAGGAAAGGGTTCTTCCTTGTATCTCTCTAATGCACAAAATATATTAGAGAGATGAGGAAAGAGATAATAGTATTCTTCTTTTTTTCTTCTGTCGAGCATGAATCTCCCTATCGTGAAGCGGTTTATGAAGCTAGGTACGAGGACTAATACGGAGTACTAATACGGAGTACTTATGAGACCATTGTTCGGGCGATGTTGCCTTACTACCGTCCTACTCGTGCTACGGTATTAAAACATTTAAAGACTATTAATACCACTTAATTAACCCGATATCAACCTCTCCCCCCCCCCCCCCCCCCCCCCCCACAAAAAAAAGCGTGGACACCGACGTCAGACCACCACGCCAACATACTTGCTGTTGGCACCCTTGTCTCCGTTCCCCGTTGAATCCGATTCAATTCCTCACCAGTCCAACCTCATATGAATGCACGTGGTGAATGTCCAATTGAAGTTTCGAAAATGAGCTTGAGGTGCTTGAACGGTGTTCTGTCGACGACGACGATGACGACGCGTCAGATCACCACCAGTCGGCGCGTCTGCTCAGCCCTCTACCGACGAAGCTACAACAGTATCGCACAGCAACAACAGCGGATAACAGCGAGGAGAGTAGGAGGAGGAGGAGGAGGAGGAGGAGGAGGAGGCGGCGGCGGTGGTGGTGGCGGAAGGAGAAGAAGATGGATATACACCAGGACGGGAGGTAGGCTGACATTGGAGCGCCCCGTTCTCGGCCGTGACCTGGTAGAGAAGACCACGCCGGCGGCAAACCTCCCCGACGGTGCCACGCCACCGCGGGTGGCGGTGCTGGGCGGCGGGCTCACGGGCCTCACGACGGCATACTACCTTGCCCAGGAGCTTCCTGCGGGGAGCCAGGTCGTCCTGTACGAGGCCGAGGACCGGCTGGGGGGTTGGGTGAGGTCGGAGAAGGTGCCGGTCGAGTACGAGGGGAGGCAGACGGAGGTGCTCTTTGAGCGGGGACCTAGGATGGCATCCATGGCTGAGACGGGCGGTCGGCTGGACAGGATGGTCATGTATGATCTTGTAAGCTCTCTGCTTGCCGACTCTCTTCCACCATACAAAACTTCAAGGCACCGAAAAGGGAAAGAGAGAAGATAAGGAAGAGGAGAGGGGGGAAAAAAAAGGAGGGACTCGCTGACCAAAACACACAGATCCTGAACCACGCCCTCATCCCGGGAGACGGGCTGGCCCCATCTCAGCGATGGATCTACAACGACGGACGGCTGATGCCCGTGCCGCCCTTCACCAGCCTGTCGCAGGTATTCGAGAACACGGTGCTGTGGGAGACGTTGCCGACGGCGCTGTTCAACTACGTGCGCCGCGTGGTGCTGGGGATGGGCGGGCCCCTCCCGTCGACCGACATGTCGGTCGCGGACTGGATCCGCTCCGTCTTCGGGAGTCGCAAGCTCGGCGAGACGCTGGCGTCGGCGACCCTGCATGGCATCTGGGGCGGGGACGTGCGTCGGCTGAGCGCGCTGAGCGCGGTGGGGCCCATGTTCCACGCCGTGCGGGCGCAGGCGCCGCCGCAGGCGCTGCTGCGCGTCCCCGCGCGCGAGTTCCGCTTCATGAACAACTTCGCCGCCGCCAGGCCCGAGGTCCTGCGCATGTGGCAGATGATCGCCAGCCCGACCCTCATGTTCGACCAGTTCGGGCTCGAGGCCCTGCCGCGCGCCCTGGCCGACAGCCTCTCCTCGGACGGGAGCGTCGACGTCCGGCTCGGCGCCCGCGTCTCCGGCCTCCGCCACGACGGCGCCAACGCCAAGATCAGCGTCACCGCTGCCTCGGACGGGACCGAGGAGTCCTACGACAAGGTCATCTCCACCCTGCCGGCGCACCAGCTCTCCCTCATCACGCGGGACGATCTGCCCACCCTGGCCGACCTGCACTCCGTCTCCATCATGACCGTCAACATCTGGTATCCGCAGGAGGACCTCGTCCCCGAAGGACTGGGCTACCTCATCCCCGGGTCCGTGCCGGAGTCGGACAACCCCGAGCGCGCGTTGGGCGTCTTTTTCGACTCCCATGTCGGCATCGGACGTGCCCGCGTCAACAGCAGCAGCAGCAGCAGCAGCAGCAGCAACAACAACAATGCTGACGGTGACAGCAACGGGAGAAGAAGAAATCCTCTCCTGGATCCCGAGTACGTTTCCGAGCCTGGCACGAAGCTCTTCGTCCTGATGGGCGGACACTATTACGACGGTGGCGGTGTCAGGATCCCTTCCGAGGAGGAGGCCATAGAGCAGGCCAAGACCCTCCTCGAGCGCCAGGTCGGCATCCCGCGCGACACGCCCTGCCACGCCTCCGCCCGCCTGGCTCCGCGCTGCCTGCCCCAGCACAACGTCGGCCATGCCGCCCGCATGTCCCGCCTGAGCGGGGAGCTGGACGTCAGCTACGGCAACCGTCTCGCCGTGGCCGGCGGCTCCTTCACCAAGCCCGGGGTCGCTGCCGCCCTACGCGCCGGCTGGGACGTAGCCGATGCCGTGGCGTCGCATGATTTCCTGTCCAACGGTCTGGAGGACTCGCTCGAGGAGGTGACGCTCCGTCCGCCTACCGTTGACGTCCCAAAGGTGGGAGTCTTTGGGACGAGTGGGATGAGGAGGTGATTCTTCCTCGTTCTTCATGCCAACCCTTCTCTCGTTTCATCGCCTTATGACGGGGGGAGGGGGGAAGGAGAAGAAGACACTGTACATTAATGTAAGAGAGGCATCCATTGCAAAAAGGGGCTAGCGAAGAAAAACACGGGGGAGCATTGGCTACTGTAATCCATAGACATTGATAAATCACGAGTTATTGTATACCTACCTATTACTGTAGTAGTTGAAAAGAAGGGGAAAAAAAACTTGTTAAAACAGCTTGCATCGTCAAAACTAATCATATTGTATTGAATTCTGACGAGGTATCATGGCAAGAAGAAAAAGAAATAAACCACCTTTCACCATCACACACGCCAACCTTGTAATCTTTTCTTCTTTTGAATGCATGCCCGAAAAAGAAAACTCCCCATTTCCTTTCCTTCGTTAATAATATAAGTAAGCTCTTGTCACTTTTTTTTTTAAAAAAAAAGAAAAGTAAATGTAATGCAAAAAAAAAAAAAAAAAAAAAAAGGGTAGGGGAATCATATCCTTAAAAAAAAACAGAGACAAAAAGAGTGACAGAGACAGAAAAACATACCCCCGACACCTCATCTATCCTATTTCAATCGCCTGGTCAGGAGCTCTGCCTGATTTCGCCTTTGCCGCAGCCGATACTCTTCTGTTCTGCTGATTCCACATTTGCTGTGCTTGAGCTTGAGCCTGTGGTGTCATGGCCTGCTGCAATTGCTGATGGGGAATGTGCAGTGGGTTCTTCTTCTGCTGCTGCTGGAGCAGCTTCTGTTGCTGCTGCTGGAGCTGAGCTTGAGCATTCTGATTCTGCAGAGGGTTCGGCTGCTGCTGTGTCGTGGCGGCGGCGTCGGCGGCGTCGGCGGCGGGGGCAGCAGCAGCATTATCAAAGCTCTCGTCGTCATCCAGAGCCCCCACCAAGGCGCGGATGGCCTCGTCGATCTTGTCCAGGACTGTGGCTGATCCGCCGTCTAACCTCCCCGAAGCGCCGGTGCCGAGACCTTGCCAGCCGGGACCGCGGCCGTCCCACGTGGGCTTGAGGGCCTTGTCGAACGAGTCCATCGGGTCGTTGGGGGGCTTGCCTGTCCTGTAGAGGAACCACCACGGCTCGTTGTGACGGAGCTTGATACGCCCATCTAGAGTGAGCTGGCGCTTGACAGGAACGCCGCTGGCTGCTGCCGACATGTTGGCTGTGACGGTGTAGCAGATGTGCATCCAGTCTATATTCTTAACCGTGACCTCGAGACTCCCCTTGGCGTCGGTCTGGATGTCGCGCCACCTCGACTCCATGGCCTCAATGGCCATCATCGTGGGTAGCGACGAGGGCAGCCACGACATGACTGTTCCGATGCCGCCATCCATATTGACCATGCGCTTGAGGAGATCAATCACGCACAGGTGCGGGCTGTCGTCGTCCAGCTTGACATCCACGTCGTTCTGGGACAGGTCGAGCATGACACGCCACCGCTTCTGCTGTGGCTGCCGCTCCGACTCGTCCGCCGGCTGTTCCGGCTGCGGCTGCGGCTGCGGCTGCCTCTTCTTCGCGCCGTAGAAGAAGGATACGTGTCCCAGCGCCACGTCCTCGCTCTCGACAGTATCCTTGGACTTACCCAGGGCCTCGAGGAAGCACACGAAGCGGTCGACGGCGACTATGCGCGTCTTGAGCACTTCGAGTGTCGGCTCCCCGATCGGATGACGCATCGACAGCGCAAACTCACCCTTACGCTCGTCGTAGCGCACGCTGTCGTCTATGCGACCCTTGAGCGCTGCCAGCTTCGCCGGCTTCTGCACCCTGATGATTGCCTCCGACACGCACACCAGATGGCTCTCCACAGATGAGGATTCGCCGCCTGGGGTCTTTCCCTGCCTAGGCGGTGCCTGGACCGACTTCAACCGCAGAGTGATATTATCCTTGGCCCAGGGCTGTCTGGGCACTAATGCCGGAGAAGCACCTGCATGCCTGTGCTGCGTCGGCTTGGCTGGTTGGGTGGCGGCGGCGGCGGGGTCCTCTAAGCTGATCTGGCTGTGGTTGTGCTCCTTGTATGCCATGGTCGGGAACACAGCTGACAGCGAGATGTCAACGGCCGGCAGCTTGAGCATCTTGGTAGGCGAATTAGGCACATCGCTGATCCGGTACTTGATCCCCTGCCGATGCAGCACCGCAACGTTGATGCGGTGGCTCATCGTGGCCGTCGTGAAGATGGTCAGCCTGTTCCAGAAGGACTCCGAAAGGTCCGGTGATCCGTTCGGTATGGGCAGCCGCAGCTGGAATCGCTGGGGGTTGCTGGTCGTCGATGAGGGTATCCTGTGAAGGAAGATGGTCAGCATACCACGGCCACAAGGTGCGTTCACAATGTGCGTTCAGCTCCAAGGGTGGGGGGCGAGGGAGGAAAGAGGGATGGGGGACGTACGCTTCGATGAGCCACCATTCGTCGCCGGCCAGTCCCAAGATGACGACCAACCGCCAGTTCTCCGGCCAGCCCTCTCTCTGGAGCCATATCATCCTGGTCCACTCGCGCACCTTGACCGCAGACTTGAGCTCCTCGTCCCTGAGCGAAGGACGGACAGCAGCCCATCCCATAGGCCCGGACCGCCTGATGATCTCGTCCTCCATAAACGCGCAGCGCACGTCCTCGAGACAGTAGAAGCCGCCCTCGACGTAGTCGTGGCCGCTGTTGAGCTTCTGCTCCTGGTGGTAGGTGAACTTGGAGTTGGGCTTGATGACGACCATGCCCGTCTTCGGCTCCAGGAGTAGCGAGACATGGGTCGAGCGGGCCACTTCGGCTTTCAGGCGCGACTTGGCGGGGTCTTTGTCCGATATGCCGAGGTGCAGGCGGTGCTCCGAGTTCTTGAACCTGGACGTCGTCAGGAGCCTGTCGTAGATGCCGCCGAGGATGAAGCTGATGTGGCGTCCCACGGCGGTACGTAGAAGCGCCTCTGCCGACAGGTTGTCCACGTCGAATGCTAGATCGGCATCGACGACTTCCTTGTTGTCCCGGTACCACTTGACCTCTAGGTAGCTGGTGTGAGCATCCCCTACCCCTCCATCGCTGGCGGCGGCACCGGCACCGGCACCGGCCGCTGCCTTCTTGCGGCCGCTGTTGACGGAGATTTGAACCCAGCTCTTGGGTATGTTGGGAGGCATGCGCGACGTCCAGTACTGGATAGCCAGAGCGCGGTGCAGCGGTTCGACCTTGAGGGTCCCAGTCCAGGAGGCGCGGCTGAGGCGCAGAGCCTGGCGCTTGATCTCGTTGATCTTGCAGGTGAGGACGAACTCGTGCAGGAACTGGTAGCAGCCCGCCAGGCCATCCTTGGCCAACGCCTCGTTGACGCAGCCCTCCAGGTATCCGCGCAGCGTCTCGGAGAGGTTGGCGGCGGCGGGCTTGAAGGAGAAGCGGAAGTCGATGAACCAAAACTGCTTCTCAAAGTCCTCGTCAGCGATGGTCAGGTCGACCTCGAATTCGCCGTCGACCTTGAACGTGACGCGGCCTGAGCCGATGTCGTAGTTTCTGAACTGCGGCGGTATCCTATCGAATTCGTCCAGGTTGAGTCGAAGAGACAATAGCGTGTCTAAGTCGCTCACCCACTTGATCTGGTCGTTGACATCGAGGGGTTCCGGTTCGATGTAGTAGAGCTACAGGATGGTCAGCTGGGGGGGGGGGGGGGGGGGGGGGGGGGGGGGGGGTCACGGCTCGGGAGGAAAGAGAGGGTCACTCACATCTGGCATCCACGGAGCTGAACCGGTGGAGAGAATACTCAGGGCCGTCTTGAGGTCTGGGCTGGGCATGCGGGCAAAGGTGAGATCCCTCTTGACGTTGACGATCCGGTCGAGCATGATGTCGTAGAGGAGGCGTTGCTGGTCAGTATGCCACTTGAGGTCGATGAGCTTGCTGACCATGGACGCCTTCCTGCTCCACTCGGCCACGACGAGCGCCTTGACCCATTTCCCATGCATATCCTGGGCAAACTTGAGAAGAATCTCCTTCTTCCGGACATTCTCGTTGGACATATCGTCGGCGGCGGTCGCGGCGTTGTGCGCGGCCCCGGCGCTTCCATTCAGGGCGCTGGCAGGCAAGGGCTTTTCTGCCAGCTCGATGATCTTGTTCTGGAGGAGGTTGTGCGTGTTCTGCGCCAGGCGGCTGAACAGCCGTGACAGGGGCACGAAGCCCTCTGTGATGTGGGCGATGTCGTCGGGCAGGTCGTTCATCTTCCTTGCGCTCACACCGTGCTGCTGCTGCTGCTGCTGCTGCTGCTGCTGCTCGGCGACGGCACCGACAAGACCGTTGGACTCTGGTCCATCGTGGCCATTATCCATGATGCTGCGTGTATCGTCTTGCCTGCCTTGCGCGCGCGCCCCTTCTCTTGTTTTTCTTTCCTCCTCCCCTGCGACAGCTACCTCACCTCACAGCAAGACGTATCTTCGTCGGAGCCCCCGGGCAGCGACCGTGGCCCATGAGGGCGTGATGGGAACCGCAGAGGGACAGAAGGGTGATTCCGGCCGAGTTACTGGATCCGCTCGGTTTCGCGTCGCCTTCTCCTCCGACTAGGGTCGACGATGCGATCGACGCGACGTGGGAATGAATCGGGTGATGTGCCGGGTCAGCGGCCGCGCCCAAAGCAAGCAGACCGAGGTTGACTGTTATTAAGTGATGTTGGGGGGAAAGAGAAAGAGGCCTAAGAGGAAAGGAGATCACGGCGACGATGTGGTGCAGCCGTGTGTGTGTGCATCGGGCGGTGATGAATAGTTGTCTGGTTTGTAGGGGAGATGCGGCTGGAGGGCTTGGTCGTCAAAAGGTATGAGATGTCAAGAATGGGGAAAAGGTTGCAGCGGGCAAGTGCAGGGCGAAAAGGCCGTGTGCGGCTTTGGTAAGAGTAAAGACTGGCTGCTTGCTGCTTTTTGGGTGCCGAACTGGTCTTTTGTCCTGTAACAGCACACAAGTACCGTGCAGTCTCCAGCCGCCAAGCCGCCCGCAGCTCGCTCGCTCTCTCTCTCTCCCTCTCTCTCTCTCTCTCTCTCTCTGTCTCTCCAGGTCTCTCTAGGTCACTCTCTCTAGCGGCCCCCCCCCCCCCCCCCCCCTCTCCCCATCCACTGGGCTTCTCTCCGCGGCTGGCCAGTCATGTGCTCTCATTCTCAGCCGCCCATTTTCTGGGTGCACGGGCCAAATTTACTCGATACGTCCAACATAATACTCGTACTCTGCTGTGCTGATTCGTATTCTTCATCAAATCATTATTATCATGTTTAACTCTCCACGGAGTATATTGGTGAGTATCATGGTAATAATCCAATATCTTCTCTGTTCCTTATTTAGTACTAATCGCCGACCTCTCAACTCGGTGATTGTAATGGGACTACTACCTGTACGAGTAGTACTGTTGTAGCGCACACCTTCACTCTCGACATGAACATCGCAATACCACCGCATGTCCCCGAAAGATGGCTATTCGGCCCAAAATACGATGCTCTATATAACCTTCGTAGGCTCAGACCAGTAGATTCCCTAGTTACATCGTGCAGCCTCTGCTTCGGCCAGCTCATTCAGACGAGCTCACTCGTAGCAAAAAGAAACCCCCGTCTTTTTTTGTCGCGTGTCTTCTGCCAGGGCGACCCAGCCGCCCACTCCTTGCCGTCAACAATATATTGAGTCAACCCCAAAACCCAGGACTCCTGCCAAGGCAGAAAAGAAGTCCCACTCTCGAGCCATTGACTCTCTCGGGGTTTTATATTAACATATTCCCATTAATCGTGCTCGCTTAGCTAAGATGGTAGAGAAAGGGAAGAGTCAGCTACCGTCCTGCGTCTAGACAAGTCTGTCTCTCTCCGTATGTATGGGCGCGTTGCGACGCCATCACCTCAGGCAGCAAAGATAGCTACGGGACAAGCAACTTACATCTTGTTGGGCTGAGAAGCTGCAGTGGTGGGCCACTGGTAGCCGGTGGCATCGCTGAACTTGAAACCGTAGGATGCGGTGAAGTCATCCAGCACCGCCGGGCCGCGGGAGCCTGCAGACAGACAGGTTAGCATCACCAGCATTCTCTCAGGGACAGAGCGGCGGTTTGTTGGGGGGGTGGGGGCGGGGTTCATCCGGTCATACCGTAGGGGTACTCCATGGGAATAATCTCCTTGTTGTCCTCGAGGTAGTGCAGAAGAGGGGTGAAGATGCGCCAGCTGGCATCGAGCTCGTCATCACGGACGAAGTTGGAGTGGTCGCCCTTGAGGCAGTCGAGGACGAGCGACTCGTAGGCCTCGGGGATCTTGAGGTCGGAGAAGCGTCGGCGGTAGGTGAGGTCGAGCTCGGTGGCGACCGTCTGCATGCTGAGGCCGGGCAGCTTCGAGTTCATCTTCATGTAGACCGACTCGTTGGGCTGGATGCGGATGACGAGCTCGTTACGCGGGATGTCCTTAAAGATGCCCGACGTCACATCCTTGAACTGGATGCGGATCTCCGTCTTCTGCTCGTTGAGGGCCTTGCCAGCCTTGAGGATGAAGGGCACGCCCTCCCAGCGCTCGTTCTTGATGTGGGCGACCAAGGCGCAGAAGGTGGGGCACCTCGACCCCTTGGGCACCGTTTCGTCCTCCTTGTAGGCGGGCTTGCTGCCGTCGAGCGAGCGGCCGTACTGGCCGATGATGACGTCCTTGGGCTCGATGGCGGGCATGAAGCGGAGGACACGCACCTTCTCGTCACGAATATCCTCAGAGTTGAACGAGATGGGACGCTCCATGGCCAGGAGTGTCAGCACCTGCAGCAGGTGGTTCTGCATGACGTCACGGATGATGCCGAACTCATCAAAGTAGCCGCCGCGGCCCTCGGTGCCGAAAGGCTCCTTGAAGGTAATCTGAACGTTTTCAATGTGGTGGCGGTTCCAGTTGGCACCGAGGAAGGCGTTGCCGAAGCGGAGGATGAGGATGTTCTTGACCATCTCCTTGCCCAGGTAGTGGTCGATGCGGAAGAGCTCATCCTCTTTCCAGTCGGGTATCAGCGACTTCTGGAGCTCGCGCGAGCTGGCCAGGTCCTTGCCGAAAGGCTTCTCGACCTACACCGAAGAAAGACACGTGTCAGCTTATCGAGAGCACTAACCTGCCTCGCATTTGAAGTTGCGCCGGTAGAGCGCGGGAGGATCAGGGTACATGAGGCTCGCGCGTATACGTACAATGACACGTGCAATGCCATTCTTGGGGTAGCACGACCTCTTCAGGTGCTGAGAGACGATGGTGAAGACGCTGGGAGGCAGGGCCATGTAGAAAACGCGGTTCTGCTCGGGGCGGCCGCTCTCCAGCTCCTCCAGGTGCTTGTTGAGGGCCTGGAAGGATTCGTCCTTGTCGTACTGACCCGAGACGTATGTGCAGAGGTCGGCGAACTCCTCGAGCTGCTTCTCAGTCTCCTTGGTGGGGGTCTTGATGTACGATTTGACCCTCTTGAGATACTCCTCGCGGTCCATCTTGGTGCGCGCATATCCGACAATCTTGACATCCTTGGGGAGGAACTGGTTCCGGTACTGTCCTGGTTGTTAGTACTCGGTCCGCAGGAGAGGAATTCGGCTTCCGGAGAAGGGGGGATTTCTTCTCACAAGACCAAACAACGCAGGGTACTGTGAGCAGGTTAGCAGGCGATCTCTTCTCTTCCTCCTCCTCCTCCTTGTCCGTCAGACCCGGCAGAACGTTACATACCGTCTTCTTCTTGGCGAGATCGCCAGAGGCACCGAGAACAATGATGGAGGTGTTCTCCTTGAGCTCTATGCTGCTGTGATAATGCGTAGCACGTTAGCGAGGCCATCTCCGAGGGTGCCGAGGGTGGTTTTGTGCGATGCCCCTCCTTCAGGAGGGCAGCTAGCTTCTGCCCCTCGCGGGGCCAGAAATGACGACGGACAGGTGGGGAAGGGGATGAGAGCAACGTACGAAGCTGCTTCGGCCATGGTGAGAGTCTTGGAGGAAGGTCCGCGTGAAGGTACGGGTTTCTATGAAAAGGAAAGAAGAGGTTCAGATGTCTTCGTCAAGCTGCTCGTCTCGGTGCAAGGAAGATATGCGGCGCAAGAATAGGCAGGTTGTTGAAGTGGAGGTTTTGAGCGGTCGGGACAGTGGACGCTGGAAGGTATTAACTACTCGCACTTTTAAGACGGCGGAGTTTACTGAGGTGGGGTTGTGCTTCGTATCTTTGCTGCTAAAAGCATTACCAGCGGGGGCCTGGCTTCCAGCGTTTCCAGCCTCGAAGCCCAGTGAACAGTGAACGGGGTGGGCAGTTGTAGCAGGGAGTACGGAGTACCTGTGTTGGATACCGTATGCGGGAGAATCAGCATGTACTCTTTCTCAATAATGCATACCACATACGCCGCGATGAATGATGATTGTACTACGTCTGGGGACGGCAGCCTATATGCGGCGGTTCGGATAGCCTGGAACCAAGGCACTCGATACCAATGTCGATACATGGCTTGCAGCCATTCTTCACTCGTAGCACAACCCCTCACTCTTTGTAATCAATGAAACGAGCGAAAGAGAAGAAGCGAGCGGGCGGGGGGATCAAACCCTCTCTATTTCTCCTCCTCCTCCCTCCCTCCCAGGATGGCTCGCTGCTGACGCCAAATGCTTCCGTAAGCTTTGTCTTGCGTTAAGCCCGCAATCGGCGCGAAGCTCCGTGGCCTCGCCGACAGATTTCCCAGCTCTACCGGCATTCCGTCCACCACTGAGGTTGGCAGTTTGATGCACCGGAGTGGGCCTCTCCGCGTCCATCCTTGTCGCGGCGGGTCCTTTACCTCATAGCATTTCATCGCCATCAACCCAAAAAGAAAACCCGCCAGCTCTTCTTTGTTTCCCTCTAGCTCTCTCTCCGTCTCTCCGTCTCTCTCTCTATCCCTCCCTCTTCGCTCTCCCAGTATTAATAGTTGGTATTTCTCTTGGCCGGGGCTCCCTTTTCCGAGCTGCCAATGGTCCGGCAGCTACGGGCCAGAGGTGTTGTCAGATACGTAGCACCGTTAATCCGGGAAGCAAGCCATCAATTCTCCATGCCCTTGGCTCCGTCAACGATGAGGAGCCGTCGATTTGGTCTCCATGTCGTCATCTACCAGAAAGGACGGTACCGTCGGTCAAGTCCTCTCCTACGTGTAGTATTTGTTAGGCATTATTATCTATCACTGATGGATGGAACATTACAAACGCCACCCTTTTGGATAACTGCTCTGATTAAACTTTCCACTGGTGTCGGTGCCCCAGAGCAGGCAAGCTTGGAAGGAGGGGGGGGTTGTTTCTGGCTGACTCTCGTTACCACCATTACCGTTCCAGTCACAATTTCTCCAGACGGGCCGGTTCTGCATGCAGTAAACCTCTCTCCCCTCTCAACAAAATCCATCTAATAATACTACGCGGTACTGCTACTAGCAGTTAAAATGCTCCGTACGTCGTAGTTCCAAACCACCTGCGGTATTTCTGGTATGCCTCTTCTTTGTTTGCTCTGGTTAGGAGTAGAAGGAGGAGATATCATTGATGCGTTGTCCGTCCTCTCCGGACAGTTCATGCTGGCGGGACTCTTACTTCTATGACGCATGCTCTCAGAACACGTGAGCTCGAGTCAACTTTGGCTCGGATTGACAAGGCATCTGTGATTCACTCATTACTCTCGTTAGACCCCGACAGTGTGACAACCACATTTCTTGCCCATCATCAAAATTGGCTATCGGTGGCCTCGTTTCTCCGAGACTTCTCGTCTATACATGTACGTTCTCGGTACAATCTTGGCAGTGAGATGGGTGTATTGGAATAGGTCCGAATATCGGCGTTTTCCTTCTTTCTTCTTCTGCTATCCAAGACACGTCTATCATCAAGATCGGGAATAGTGCTCGATCTGCCCTTACTCAGCGACCACCATCGCCACATTTCGTTAGTTATCCATGATGGACGATGGTGGCTGGTGGCAGGATGGACAGAACCTGTGGCTTGCGTTGGCGGGGTAGCACAAGCTGACATAATACAACCCATTGGCCGTAGAAGAAAAAAAAAAGCCCAAATGCCACACACATATAATACTGCCCTAAATGCCCCACGTGACCACCAAGGGCACAAATTTTCGGGCTAGGGCCATTGACACACCAGAATCGCATCCACTCGTACCTTTGCTGAGCATCACGACAATCCACGACCGGCAAACTAACTAACAGGGAAGTCTTTTCGCTAAGACGGTTCCGCGACGACTTTTTTTTCTCTCTACCCTTTGGTTCCTTAAGAGGGCAGAAGCCGATATATCCCATCAACATGCCTTCCGAAGCTGGCCACCGCCGTGAGTTGCAGTCCTGATGAATGATGATCCTGGGGAGGAGGATCTCGCGATGTGCCATGACGGAGGAGGTACTGAACGACAATATGAAACATTTTGGCTAACGTCTTTTTCCCTTGCGCAGTATATGTCAAGTGAGTTCTACCGCCGCACCACCAATTCTGTAATTTTGTCTTCTCCCCTCCGCACGACTGCGAGCGAATCCCATCATCGGGGGGTGTTTTTTTCCCCCGACAATCGCTTGCGCATCTCGAACGCTTTCACCCCGCGTCACATGCCCTTGGCATTTAACACACACACAGATGCCTCCTCTTGCATCTCATCGTTCGAATCGAGCTGGATTGGGTCGAAGACTAACAACGAAACTAGGGGACGTCACCTGAGCTACAAGCGCTCGCGTCACAACCTTACCCCCGCCACCAGCCTCATCCAGATTGAGGGTGTCGACTCTGTCGAGGGTGCCAAGTACGTATTTTCTACCTCTGTCTCTATCCGGAAGTACTAGGAGGGTGTCAGTCCGTGGATAAGGGCAACAAACAAGCAAAATAGAAGGGGACACACCGACTAACATCTGACCGCTACAGCTTCTACCTTGGCAAGCGCATCGCCTACGTCTACAAGGCTCACAAGGAGATCCGTGGATCCAAGCACCGCGTGATCTGGGGCAAGGTTACCCGGCCGCACGGTACGAACATCTTACCCCCTCCCCCCCCCTCTCCCCTTGGAGTGAGAACACTCCATTTATATGTAAGATGACAACTAACGAATCATCTCTCGTATAGGCAGCTCCGGTGTCGTCCGCGCCAAGTTCTCGACCCCCCTCCCTTCAAAGTCTTTCGGTGCTTCGGTCCGTGTCATGCTGTACCCCTCGTCGATATAAGAGGCCCCCCCCCCCCGGAAAAAACCACAACGGGACGGAGTTGATATTGAGGACGGTTGTTATTTGGCTGCATTGGGCGAGGCAATGGTAAAGCATATCACTGGGCCTTGCTTTGTGAAAAGGCATTCAATTTAAAACAAACAAAAAAAAAGTCGTCAAAATCTCCCATTCTTCCGAGAAGACAAAACGCAAAGAAACACTTCTGAATCCCGCCCCCTTTTTCCAATCCCTGACTGTTCGCTCGACACGAGTCTCTTATCACCACACTGCGTATCTTCTTCTTTCCTCTCTCTGTTCCATCAACGGCTGCTTTCCGAAAAAGCAATGACGGACGACGTCAGACACTCGGATGAGTTTGCGGCGGTGTGGGAGGGAGTGGTGGGAAGCAAAAGGAGGCAGTTATGGCTTTATACATGACTACATGGCTGGGCAATGGATATGGAGGGGAAAGAAGGGTATGGGTTCGATTTTTTTTCTAAAAAAAGAGGAAGAACAAAAAAAAGAAACGGAATATTCACTTGAAAAAAGAGAAAACGGGAAATGGATCAAAAAGGGTGGAATACCAGGTTTGATGGACCATCGAGCTTTTATAAGCTTTTATATGACCGTGATCAGAATATGAATGTATCCAGAGAGATGTGACGTCGTCATTGATGGGATGGAATCCCTGGGTTTCCTTCCGGTGCTTCTGACATTGGTCTTGTACTCTTCTTATCTTGCTGCTTTCTATCATCACGGAATATGGATCGTCGAATAACAGCTGTTGATGCTGTCGACGATTTGAGTGTTTGATAGATATCGTCTCATGCCGGTCCCAACACATGCTCGGCTCGCGAAAGTCGACTGGGTCATCGACCGTGGTAAGTTGGACGGAATGATAACCATTGCACCGTGTCACCACCCACGGCCTATCCTATCCCATATTCTTCAACTTCGGAAGCCTCTTGTGAGTTTGAGTCGAGGTGCCATGGCCTTGGGGTGATTTTTTTCTTACCACGCAGGTCATATGCATGCAAAGTGGTCGGCACGGTGATATAATACCGTATACCTTTCTTTCTCTCTCTCTCTCTCTCTTTACTCTGGATCTGAGAGGTCTCGATAATGGGCCTGGGTATCTTGTACGGGCTCGGTCACGCGGCTCGCACGTCATATCGTGTACGAAGGTATCGCTAGGATGGAAACCACTCAAAACATGCGGTACGCTCATCACATACACAAATCTCACACACGAGGGGGGGGGGGGGGGGCGAGTCACCAATGTTACTGATGAACTGGTACTTTCCTTGGACGTACATGGACTCGAGAATATATCTCTGGGTGTCCGGTGAAACCGTTCAAGTCCAGGCATGAGCTTTACGGGGATAGCGGCATCGGGTCTCATGACAATTTTTTTTTCCTGCCATGCGAGCTTCATGGAGAGCACGGAATCGATGTATGACACGAGATGTCGGATGGGGGAAGCACTCTAGTCTTGGGAACAGCCAAGACAACCAACCCTTCTATCCTACACATGGTGGTGTATTGTGAGAAGGCGCCTGGATGACATGTGTAGAAGTGATGAGGAGGGGAGAGGGGAAGAATCATGTGAAGGCGTTGACGAGAACGTATAATGTCTTCACATTCCCCAAGTTTTCCTATGTAACATTGCGACCCATCGCTCACAGCTCGTACCTGTCTGTCCTTGAAGTGATTGAGGTGATGCTTGCACTTACTCTCACTGACTCGGTACTGTACGCAATGCATACACACGAGTCAGTGCAAGCATCGCCTCGAACACCCCAAGACCCAAGGACATGATAGAAGGCCATGGTAATATATGTATATATATATATATATATCAGTCGCATACATGATTCCACGCCGCGCCTGGTGTTTGACACATTGCAGCAGAAGTTGGAAGGATGACTACCCCATGAGGGGGTCCCAGGGGGGAGAGAGTCTGGTTTTTCTGTTTTGCCTACGTGGGTAGGTGAAGGAGGTGGTTGTCTATACTCTCGAGACCGGTACGTGTGCTGAATTGTAGATACTACGGGTACACACGTTGAATCCGGGCATAGGGATCGTGTTGGGTGCTGGATCGGACGGGATGTTGCGTGACGAAGCTTGCCAGTACTACTGAGTAGTGCCGTGATCCGTTGCTGCTGGCAGCACTCCGTCTGTATGTCGTCTGCCCTACAACCTAGCTCGGTGGATCTAATCACAAGCAGAATTTGTCTCTCTCTGTCAATCCGTCCAGAGTCTCGACCGGAGGTGCAAGGTCGGAATCGGAGCTGGAAAGCTGGAGTTGATGGGGATGGTGCGAAGCCGAAAAAAAGGAACCAAAGGAAGCAAAGGGGCCAGAGGAGTTACTAAAAGAGGTGTAAAAGCAAAAGAAGAAAGAAGAAGCCGGCATGACTTGGTTAGTGGGGGGTGGGGGGGGTGAGGTGACATGTGTGTGTGTGTGTGTGTGTGTGTGTGTGTTATGTAGGAGAAGAAAAAGTCCAACTAAATTCTAGCGTCGATCTCTATCGAGTAGCTCTTTCATTGTACTCTGGGTAAGAGCATTATGTGTTGTGGGTTTCTGACCCTGCGACTCCGCGCTTCTTCTTCTTCTTGCATGTAGGAACCAACAGCTCGGCGATGCTAGGAAGAGGACGGTCTACGGCAGTCTAACGAGTGATATCAGTGGGGAGGAGAAGGACCCAAGTACTCACGTGTTACGCATGAGGATTCGTACGCAATCGACGCAATTGATTTAGCGCGAGCCGCGCAAAACAAAAACAAGAGACAGAAACAAAACAAAAACCCCTACAAGACGGTGACACGGTACTGCTAGTAGTTTGTATCAGCTAGTAGTAGATCAACGACTAGTAGTATTGCCTAGAGCTGAGAAGAGCCTGGTTGAGGAGATGGAGAGCCGATGCTTTGCCGGGTAAAAGCAGAGAGCGCTGCGGTATCATTGTGTGTGCGTGTCAGAGAGAGAGGAAGGGGGAGGGAGGGAGAGAGAAGGTGGTGGTGGGAATTACCCACACAAACGGGTTTCGATAGAGTTGGAACCACAAACAAAAGACGGTTTCAAGTGGGGGTGGCTGGGTCTTCTTCTACTGCGAGTATACATACAGCCGGTACGGTGAGATACGAGCATTGTTGATCTTTTTCCGTATGCTTTCTTTTTCTCTCTCTTCTCCTTCTCTTTCCCCTCTCCGTCCAAACGTCGTGATCATGACTTTCTCGTGTTGGCTCGGACTTGATCAAGAGGCCGCCGCCCGGTGACCGACCGGGGGAAAGGGCAATCCCACATGCTGCCTCTGACGAGTGCGGCATCCATGTTCCGGCGGCGGCGGCTGCAGAGGAGGATTTTCAGGATGGAATCCTACTACCGCTGCGAGTACGAGTGCAGATTAGTAGTGTGATCATCTACGGATTCTCATCACCTACTATCATGCTACCTGCTAGTCGTACCGTATTCTGTCGGCATGGGCATGGGCACGGCGTGGGCACGGCATGGGCATGGGCATATGGGCATGGGTATAAGCACCACCCATGTACATGACATTGTAGCATTGCAGGACTGACGTGGGCTCTTTCCCCGACTCAGGATTATTTACTGTACGAGCTGGAAGGAAGGCGTTGGGTTGCTCGTAAAACACGCTCCGTACATGTGGACTAGACTACGAGTAGAGGGTACGGGTATCAACACGGTCGTGCGAATGTGTCTCGCTGAGCAACGAGTAGGTTTGATCGCAGCGCTGCGGTGACTGCGGTGAGAGGGAGGTAGGAAGCGCCGAGTCGTGGGACGAGGTCGTCATCCTTCTTCTTCTTCTCTCAGCCGCCATCCAGATAGCTAGGCTGTGGGACGTGCTTGTATAAGTGCAGCACTGCAGGATGCGATACAATTTACGAGAAACCAAGTACGGGCAGTAATGACGGGTATCTTGAAAGGGGTGGGTTCGTTTGAGAGGGAGTGGGTTCTGCTGACTGTAGGTGCGTGAGCGCTACGTACATGTGCTATAGCTGCTACTGCTATCTGCGCATGCACGGAGTTGGTATCACCGTCCATTCTGGATATCAAGACATCAGACACCCAACGACCTCGGGTGGGATGCGATGTTACGTCGTCGCGAGAAGGATACCAGAGGGAGGCTGAGACAGAGGAGTCATGGTCACGGTGCTAGATACGGATACCTGTGGCGAGCAAGGAAGAGAGAGTGTGTGGGTGTAGCGTATAAGACACCGTTTTCATCTAATCTGAATCGATATTACTCGTAACGGTCAATGACGGCTTGGTCCCGGTGGGATCTCTGTGCGAGCATGTTTGACGCCAGCCAGCCAACCAGCCAGCACGCATCGAGGAAGAAGAGAGAGGGAGAGGGAGGGAGCTACTAATGGGAAGAAATCTAGGAAGAGAGGCATCAGATTTAGATGGGGAGGGGGACAAGAGGCAGGAACAGAGACAGAGACAGAACGAGTGTCAGAGGGATCTGCCCACCGCTTGTTGTTTAGCGTGTTTTGTGGTTGACGTCAGGACCTTAGGGCCGTGTTCTGTACTCGTACTGCTGCTCCTTCCTCACGATTGCTCCTGCCTTGCCACCGCTCCTGCCTCTTTTTTTTTTTTTTCTTCTCTTTTTTTTTCTTTTTTTCAGGCCTCCCATTCACTCCGTTTCTTTCTACTTCCATCACCGCCTCGGTCTCTTTCCCTCTCCGCTTCTCCGCCTCTCCGCCTCTCCCTTGCCAAAAAAAAATGATGATGGTGATGATGCTCGAGGTAAGAGGCCTCCATATTCCCTCTTCCGAAGACGGGTAGGGTAGATGGAGAAAGAAGAGCGACATGCACAGGAGAGAGAGACCAAGGTTAACGCGGCACCATATCCTTGGGTTTTGAGTTCAGGTCCAGGCTTGGATCTTGGAGTGGATAAGCACAAACTCTGTCGCAGTTTCTTGTTCTTACGGGTACGTACATTTCTGTGCTGCAGCGCTGCGTACATGCTACAACCTAGACGTATTACTCGTGCAGATTGTGACGGCGTTATACCAAGATTATTATATCTGTACGGAGCAGGTACGAGTAATTCTTGGCAGCGGGTGGTCGGAAACCAGAGTTGGGGGGGGGGGGGAAGAGAGGAGAGGTCGATGGAAAGGTCTAGAGAAAGAAAAAGAGGAAGGGGATGTACTGTTATTGGTCGCATTTAGATAGCGGTACTCCGTACGAACAGCGAGACCCAGTCATGGTAGTGGTAATAATGGAGTCTTCCTGTTTCCCTCTTCGTCGTTTACGTCGCACATAATCCAGCCATCCGATCGGTGATGGAGGAAGGTGATGGAGGGGAGGGAGGGAGGGGCAGAGCATGGGCAGCACTGCCACACGCACACGCATACGCACACGCACGGAGAGTCTTTTCTTACCCGCACCCTTCGTATAGTAGACAGAGCGAGAGAGGAACAGAGGGAAAAGGATAGTCGCTGTACGAGTGTGAATGATACTATATCATCCTTGCACGACACGCTGACCGCCAGCCGCCAGCCGCCAGCGCAGAGCGACTAGCGGCAGACAGCGGGCAGCACCGTACCCAGGCCCGTCAAGCAGGTGACGCACATCATCAATACATATATATATATATATATATATATATATATATATATATATGTATACAGGGTGTAAATCAGGTATTCTCCCAGTCACAGATGTCGATGGCGAAGTGCGCAATTGCCATGGCGACCCTCTCCGCCGTTATCAAGGTGTGGGTAGTGGGTTGGCCAGCCATCTCCATTATTGCTAGTTCGAGTCCATGGAGTAGAGTGCTAGTATCCGTACTTGATATAAGTCAATACAACGGGTTTAACTACAGATCAGCTATGCACAATGAAAGTGGGGGCGATGATGGAGAAGAAGAAGAAGAGGAGGAGGAGGAGGAAGGTAGAAAAAAAAAGATGGGATTTGCCTTTTTTGGGGGGGGCTCTACTGCTATTAGTGGTATCTGCGATGCCGCACTTGCAGAATAATAAATGGCCGGATGCGACCTGGTTTGAGAAAGAGAGAGGGTCTCACATCAACCCCCAAAGCACACCACTCGACTATCCACACACACACACACACGCACGCACACGCACGCACGCACGCACACCACACCATGTTGTCACGGAACATGCCCAGCGCAGACGCTAGCAAGGGGAGGGGTCGACTCAGCAGCGTGTCTTATGATAGTACAAGTCCCAAGTATTGCTCGATCTGTTTATCTGGTCGTCCAAGAGCTGGTATAGCTGGTAGAGCTAATTGACAGGCAAGGAAAAAAGGAGCTTGCCGTTGACCCCCCCCCCCGGTCACGAATTACATCAACCTCGATATGGACAGGTATTATAGCGGTTAAGCATTTTGCGAAACGAGGCAGTTGGCTGTTGAGGAGAACGGACAGATACAATATGAGGTTCCGAGAGCAATCGTATCACGGCAGAGAGAGCCAGCCAGAGTCAGGTAATGATGATATTCGCCCCGTGTGATTGACCTGTGGCGTATAACACGGCATCATGGACGGATTACAGAGGAGTGGTCAGCGCCCAGGGTATGCGTACAGGTATCCGCTCAGCGTTGATCCTCGTACTCGTAATCATGCTCGTACATACCTGTACTGCACCCACCTCTCCCCTTCCACCTTCCCTGCCTGGCCCTTGTCTTCTCTGCCTGTGAGCTCTACATGTAATCTGTAGTCACGGCAGGATTCGTCACTGCAGAACGTCGAGAGAGAGATGATCCCGGCGCCTCCGGTACTCGTACTCTCTCTCCTCTCAGTGCTCTAGTCCCCTGCTAGTGTATTGCAACTTACGAGTACCAGTACAGCGTAGTGATGGTAGCACAGCAGTACGCACTCTGATGAGTCGTACATCCCGTACCCGTACCAAGATGCTCCGTACTTCATCACAACGGGTAAGAGTCCGTGGAGGGAGGAGAAGTACATCTCGCCCGATATACGGTCGAGAGATACATCATCAGCACAGCCAGCACACCAGCAACAACCACGCCACTTACCTTTGCCTCCTTCCCTCCCCTCCTTCCTCTCTTCTTCCCTCTCCCGGCTTTTTGCCTCTGGTTTTTTTTTTCTCGTCATCTCTACCATTATCATCATCAAAACCTCCTTCTTTTTTTTTCCCTCTTCCTTCTTCCTTCTCTTTCTTTATTTGAAACATCACCATTCGTTTTTTTCCATCTTTGGCGTTAATACGCGACCAACGAAGAATAGAACTCAGACCTCCGCCCCAGTTCTTTTTTTTTTCTTTCCAGCCCTGGCTCCGCCTGCCGCACCCCCTCGAGCCTCCTCCCAGGCTCCTACCCCCCCCCCCCCCTCCCCTCCCCTCCCAGCGCCTTTCTTACAGAGATATCTGTGTCGCAGCCAAAGATCTAGGGTCCTCCAATCTCACGGACACCTCAGCGTTCTCTGCTCTGCTTATCGCCCCTCCGGCCAGAAGCAGCGATTAGCAGGCTAGCAGTGGTAGCAGAAACAACAGAAACAGGTTCGGTGCGACAGAGGCCTGTGCTCGGATATCGTGTCTCGACTTCCCTGCTCTCCAGATTGGCAATTGCTACGTACGGCGTGCGAGATACGAATCGCCCCCAGCGTCTCACGCGATAATATCGAATAGTACTATCACTCCCAGTACTATTGCCTATCCCCCGTTCTCTAATTTTTTTTTCCGGGGTGGACTCGGTTTCGCCTGCCCACCATGTATCAACTCCAGCACCAGAACCAGGACCAAGTCCGCTTCCGTCAAGACCTGTCACAGCCGCCCCCGGTCCACCAAAACTACCATGGCGCCCAACACCAGCGCCAGCCGCCAGCTCCTTCTTTCGCTTCTCACAATCTCTCGTCTCCTCCTCTTCCTCCTCACCAGCAAAATCTCTCTCCCACCAGCGCGGTAGATAATCTGCCCACCTCGCCGTCGTCTACGTCCGCTGCAGTCACACCTCTACCTTCGTTGTCGCAGCAACATCCAAATCAGCAATCCGACGCTTATACTGCTGCTAACCGGCCCACAATCCATCACCAGCCGCAGCCGCAGCCGCAGTCGCAGCCCCAGCCGCCGCAGTCTTCGTCCCACCACCACTCCAAATCCCGATCTTTCAGTTTTCACTCGGATAAGAAGAGCCATAGCAGAAAGTCCTCTGTCAAATCCTCCGACGAGCGCAAGACTCCCACCGAGCACCATCACCACGACAAGGGCCTGCACAGCAAAGCCGATCCCACTCTAGCCATGAGCGAGGCTGAACCTTGTAAGTTTCTCTCTCCCTCTCTATCGTTTCTCTCTCTCTCACTTTTCTTTTCATTTCTTTCTCCCCTCTTTTTTTTTTTGACCTGTCTTGTCGACCCGTCTGTCCTGAGCTGTCTTTCTTTTTCTTCCCTCTCACCTGGTCCTGGTCCTTTCGTTCGTCCCCCTCGCCTGTATCACTCCTGTCTCATTTTCCTGCATCCCCCCAAATCAGCCTTGTCCCTTCAATTTGGCAATCTAGATAAAGAACACTCTACATCGTCACCTCAGATCAAGCGGTCTCACCTTACCACCATTGCCTTCGCAAATTGCACTGCATCCTGAGAAACCAGTCCTTCCGGACCTCGCTCTCGACTGACACTCTCCTCTACGCACAGCCGTCATAGCCACCATGAGTGGCGAGTCATCGCTCGGCTCGCTCCGTGGTATCCAGCACAAGGATGCCTACGGAAACCCCATCGCCGACCCTGACCTGTCCAACCCTACACGCAACCGATGGGAGCGTCCTCTCGACACGATCCGCAGCTTCGAGGCCGCCATTGACGGTGGTTACACTCGCAGGGCCTCCATGATGCGTACCGGTTAGTCGCACTCGTCTCTTTGAATCCTGACATGTTCAGCTCATCCTCTGACCCCATCGCGGACAACAGCCTCCGGAACCTTCAACGGCAACTCGAACCGCCGCAGCTCTCACACTCCAAGCCAGACCAAGTTCCGCCCTGGCAGCTACCAGAACGGCAACGGGAACGGAAACCGGCCCATCTCCTTCCGACCCGAGCAGACGCAGTTCACCCTGGCCACATCTGCTGGGCCTTCGCGCAGCAGTATATACGGTTACGAGAGCCACCGGAGCTACGACGAGCATGCCAACATCTACGGTCCCACCGACGGCCGCCCGCGCCAGTCTAGGATGATGTCGGAGCCCTACTACGCCATGAGCGCGAGGGAGCAGCAGGAGGTCTACCGCCTGTCCGACAAGGACCGCTCCTACGAGACCGTCACCTCGGCCGAGGGCAGCCGAAACTCGGACCAGGTCGGCTACCAGACCGACCCCACCAGCAGCGATAACAGCTCCATCGAACGTCGCCGCTCCCCCGGCAGGCGTCTCCAGCAGCCGCCCGTCAAGGACTACGGCGTCTCCATGCCCCCGACACAGCCCGGCATGGCGTACGCCGGGCAGTCCCAGCCTCCCCGGCCCCCGGCCAACGGAGCCAACGGTGTCGCCCCCCAGGCCAGTGCCGCTCCGCCCAAGGACGCTCCCTCGGTCCTCAGGCGCTCTTCCAAGTCCGCCCAGGCTGCGCCCCAGCAGGAGTCGCAGCCTGCCAAGACGGCTGCCAAGACACCCGTTTCGGAAAAGAAGAAGAGCTGGCTGTCTAGGCGGTTCAGCAAGAACTCATAAGCCACGGGGTCACGTCTCGACTGGCTCCACCTCGGGCTCACGTTGAACCCATGACGTGAAGATCAACGTTGGACCACACGCAACGTCGCAAATTTGATTTTTTTTAATGCTGTCTGTCCTTTGAGAGATCATATTTTCCTATGTCATACACGCCGCCCCCGAAGGGGGGTGGGGAAGCATCATGATACCGAAGACTCCCCAAGAAAGGGGAGGGCCCAAGTGTTGAGAGGCGGAGTAACAACACGCAAAACTTAATGACGATT